TCCTGGGAGGTGTATGGGAGTGCCCCCACCTGCTGGCCTGGGTCATTGTGGGCAGGCTTTAAGTCTCCCCCCACCAAACAGTGAAGGTCTGTTCTGTTTGCTCTTACTTAAAATGCTATAAATTAAAGTAAAGCATGATAGTTGGAGTGCTTCCACCAAGGGCTTTTTGAACATCTGTATTAGACTTAGAAGTTAGACAACCTTGCTCTAGTGCATAGCATTGCATTTCTGTACTTAAAAGAGATTGTACTCTATATATTTTCCTTTGTTTTGTTTATAATAGTTTCCCAATATTGTTTTAAATCTCAAAACATAAAATAATGTGTTTATCAATTTATAAATATTATTTTTTGTTTTTAATCAGATAGAACTCTGTAGAATTTACCAGTTGTTATGAAAGACAAAGATACTTAAAACATTTAATTTTATAAAATTTAAAGAAATATTGAAATATTAAACAAAAAAGTTTGCTGTTTAATTAATTGGGTATGTTAAAATATTCAGATAATGATTAAAGAGATGGTTTAGGTGTATGCCCTTTATAATGTACCATGAGAGAGCATGGGGCCAAGAGCCAGAAACTGAGTGCATCTTGTTCCTATCTGTGACACTCGTACTTGGCACTGCATAGCACTCTGCAAGCATTGCATTGCACCACGTTTCACAAAATCTGTGCAAGGTAGGCAAATGCTCCTATAGCAACTTTAGGTAGGGAGCTAGGGCACAGACATTTTGTAACGTGCTCATGTCTCACTAAGTCTATGTAAGAACTGCATACAGATATCTTAACCCAACCACTGTGACACTGCCTTAAGCTACCTTACAAGACATACCTTGTACTTCCTTAAAATTCATTATTCACTCAACTACTCCAGACATTGCTGCCAGACTTGGTACAAAGTTATGGCCTATCTCCTCTAGCACATGCTGCTTGGGGAGCAGCATGTGTGAGAAATCAGTAGCTTTTTAATCTGTGAGAAACATCACCCATGGGATTCTCTAAAATTTGGCAGCTGTGTGGCTTTTGTTTTGCAGCATTGAGGATAATACTTGCCAAACTCCAAAATAGTGCTGTCAGGCTGAATTATGTAGATTTTACATCACTTACACAATATAAAGTGTTACAAAGTTATTTACTCCACTGAGGTGCAGGGAATATTAGAGGTCTGTATTACCAATGGGAGAGCAAATGCACATATCCTATGCCTCGGATAACTCTTTCATGCAGTCCCAAGCTTAGTTTAAGAAAGCCAAGGGAAAAAAAAAGGAAATGTAACTTAAAGTGAGGTTATGGATTGGTAGAAAAAAAGGAGTGGGGCTTGTTGTAATTTACTACCTGTACAAATGTATATGCTATTTTTGCCCTTTATTTGGAACTTCATTTCCCTCATTTTATGTAGAGTGGATTATTGAAAAAGCATCAGCTACAGTGTTGTAGTTAAAAGTGTATTCAAAGGTGAGTGTACTTAATGACATAAAGGGCATTTTTATACATGTGTGCCGCAGTGCGGGCACTTTTAAAAGTGCCTGGTGCTGCGGCATATGTATTTGTATAAATGGCGAAATGCACGTCAGTGCTGAGAAAATGGCATGCTTTTGAACTAAAACATATTGAAGGTTTTTAGTTCAATAGTGTGCCGCCACCATTTTTTCATCACTGATTTGCATTTCACCATTTATACAACTGCATTTGATGTAGTGCCGGGTGTGTCAGCTCACGTTTAGACCAGACTCGATTAATCAAGTCTGATCCAAGACGCTAGATCTCTGGAGCATCGGAGCAGACAATGTATGTATATAAATGCCCAAATTGTTTATTTAGCTTTTTTTTTTGATGAAGCATCACTTTGTTTTGGCATGGAGATAACTTGAAGAGATTTCTGACATATTTTAAGGTTTTTTGTTTTTTTTTTTTTTTTTTTTTTTAAGGGGGGGGTGTTTTA